AGCTCTTCATCTCAAAATGAATCGGTTTTGTGAAAGAACGAAGCACGGTGAAACTCCAGTTCGGGGGGGCCACTCCATTTTTTCTCCAATACTCAAGATAAGGATTAGAGGGCTCACGACACGTAATCGACTCATTTAAAGTAGACTTCTGATAAATATTGGTGTAATGGGTGAGAAACCCTGAAACGTTTTCACATTTCCGCCTGCCATGACCCAAGGGAACGGTCCTGGACCAGGAGAAAGGACACCTCCGCAAAGGGCTAAGGGTGCAGGAGCTCCAGGGTGGATCACCTGTGCAGAAAAGTGGATGGGATGTGGGCAGGTAGTGTGGAATGTAGGACATCCACCGGTCCTTATCAAAAGTACGCTCGAAATGAGTCGTTCACTTATTATCTTATCCGTAGTGTTCGATAGCCCAAAGAACTGCTCTCTAGTACTACGGATAAGATAGCAATGGAGTGGCCCCCCCCCCGAACTGGAGTTTCACCATCACGTATCTCTTGCTCGTCGTCACGTGATGGGTATGCTCTGCACTCAACGCTCTTCTCGTTTTCCGAATAGGGGGTAGATGGTATTTTTGCGTGCAGAAAAATATGCTACCCACTTCGTGAGGAAATTGGCTTATATTAATTTACCGTATAAATTTGGAGGGCGGAAGTGGTGTAGTGGCAAGTGGCGCGCTTACCACGCGAGCGGTCCGGGGATCAAATCCTGGGTCGTGAGTCGCCCGGGCCAACCAAGCCTTCCATCCCTCCGGGGTCGGTTAATTGGTACCAGACTTGTCTGGGAGGATAAAAACACTGACTTGTACATCGGCTGGCCCCCGCAAGTCATTGTATAGGCCACATCGCATTCAAACGCCACTACGAATGTACAAATGGAAGTAGAATGCGTGCCGCATCCCAAAAAGGGATTGATCAACGGCAAATGCTTTATTTTTTATCCTTATAAATTGGAGCCGATGACGCCATTAGTATGGACGAAGTGCGACTGGCCACGAGAAGTCCATGTTTAGCTCCACCCCCAGCAGAACCGATATTTAACAATTGTTTTTAGTTTTTGAAAGAGCACGACAAGCTTCGCCATGTGTAGTATTTTTCGACGAGATCGACTCACTCGCTCCCAATAGAGGTCGCAACGGAGACGCGGGCGGAGTGATGGACAGGTATCTTGCCCTTTTCCACAACTGTCAATTTTCTGCTACACGGCAGTCGTTATAGGAAGTTAAGCTTCCTATGTTGTGAGAACTCCGAAATCTTTAGCAGAGTGAGTTGCTGCCGTGGGGGGGAGAGTGTTGGAAGGAAGCTTTGCCACTACGGTGACTCAGTTTCTGAAACGTTCCTTAGTTTGGTGATGGTGTGACCATTTCTTGGGCTAGTATAATCACAAAGCCAAAGTTCATTTACCACAGATTGAGGCAAGGCAATAGATCATTGTATTGCTGCTTCTAGCTGGTACGATTTAGAGTTGGTGAATGCTTGCGGCGCGTTTGCTTCGTCAACTGCATGTTGATTTGTTAGAAGCTTTGTAAAAACATTTTAGTAGCTCCTTCAGAGTTTACTTTCCTGATCCATTTTGAAACGCAAATTGCCCTAACAAAGGTTCGCTAGACTGACATCATGCAAATTAGCCTTTCAATGAGACTACTTTTTTGTAAGCCTTAGTTTCCCATGTAAGGGGTCAACCAGTCGCAGCATCTTTTGTCACGAAAGAATGCCGTTCGGCAGGTAATAAATATCAGGTTGAGCGGAAATTATACGCCGTTTTCACATAACTTTACAAGCAGAACTAAAAAAACATCAACAGTTGTTAATCAACAAACGTTCGCAAACAGTCCTCTCTGCAACCGTGCCTTCACCACTGCTTCGTTGATTCCACGACCAGATGCAGCAGCAATCGGTTTCGAGCTCAACTTGTATTCGTCTAGCATAGAAAGAATTTTTTGCTCGCTGCATAGTGGAACAAATACGCAAGTGTTGTGCACCAAAATGTACAACGAATGCGCGCCTTTAGACTACATCATAATCTTTGGAAATAATCGTAAAAATCAAAGAGCCATGAGTTTGAAAAAACTGCGGATAATTTTCGGCTCAGACAACTGATACTTCATTCCACACCCGGTCAGAAGAAGCTGTTGTATGATGTCCTTCGATGCACACATCATTCGGGTTATATGTATTAGCAGTTAGTGCCGTCGTCAAAACGCATTAAAAGCGAGATTTCAGATATTTCATCCGCTAAGATGCCTCGAAAGTGACTCTACTTCTCAGTAGCTCTACCCTTCGTTAAAATGGTTTGGACCTTGCAGCGCTCATTGCATAGCCCATTTGTTATTGCACAAGATAACGCTGCAGAGGCAGTGATCAAACTGGGGCCTTTGAAAATCAGCTTTAATGTTTTGGCGTGAAGTTTAGTGGGTTTAAAGGAGGAATTCACGATTAGAATGAAGGTCGAAGAAAGGGAAACTGACCTAGTTGAGGGACCCACGGACCTCCTGAGGGTGCGAACTGACGCGCAATTCGCATGGAAAAATTTGACCTCGGCGACCTATCATGCCTCAAAGCTGGCGGGTCCGGCGATCTCCGCCCACCGATCATCTGATCACTCGCCGTAGTTCAATACGTGGCGAGTGATTAGATAGCTGAGAGAGCGTAGTGTTGAAGAGGGCACAGCGATGAGAGTCGCATCAATGCTCGAATCAACGGGCAAGGAAGGGGTACCATTTCTCGGGTTCTGGGCCGTTTCTCATGGTTCTTCCTTCTTTCGTGTACCACTCACCATCCCTAGGTTAATTTGAAATGGGTTGCTTTTTCATCGTGAATTCGTCCTTTAAGCTCATCATGAAGTTCAACACGTCGTATAAAGCTAAATTTTGATTGAGGTGATTATCTTTTGAATTGTTGACTTAATATAACGAAATGCCACTTTACAAGAATAGTGTCCAGTGAATTACGTCCGAAGAGGGCTTTTCTTTTTGGGAATTTAAAAGGGCCCTGACGATTCACCTCCCACAATAAAATATTCGGTCATGGCGGAAAAACCGGCGATCTTATGATGCTTCATTGAATGAGCCGCTGACGGTATGTTTCTAGCCTCATCGTCGATGAACATCCTCCACTTTGTATGCTATACGAAGTTATTACGCTTCTTGCTTCATGATTGAAGATTCAATAGGAAGCAAAGTTTCCAGCTCCGTTGACTCCGTTGCGATGGGCCTTGCTGTCAAGCTTTTTTGCAACCCATACGCAGATATAGGGCGCTCTTGGCCTGGAGGCGGGAAAAATTCTAGCGAAGCAAAGATTCCAATATCCTCCCCGATCCTTTCCTACTAAGTTTCGGTCCCAAGTACTGTGACTGTCCTACTCGCTCAAATGCCCTCCCTAGGGAAATGAGCGCTCTGTTAGTCATCTGAAATTGAAGACGCTTGAAGAGATGAAAAATCTTTCAGCGCACTTACAAGGAGGGTCTTTCAGGTCATGGAGCGCTTTTCCGAAATGGGTTCCTTGCATGTTGTAAAGGCTCATGCGAGGAACATAAAACTATGGTCCATTTTTCCTGAACACTTCTGGGAACCTCAAAACAGTGGTGAAGAAATGGTCCAAAGTTCAATCCGCCGTGGTGACAAATTTTTGCAATCCATGTTGGAGCCTCCAAATTGTCGCCAAATTACGAGGATGACATGTTAATCGACGCTGGTGCCATTTGGACACAATTTGGAGGCGCCAACATAAATTGCAAAAATTAGACATCACGGAGGATCGAACTTTGGACCATCTCTTCTCCACTATTCTGACCTTCCTAGAAGCGTTCAGGAAAAACGGACCATGGTTTTGTGTTCCTCGCATGAGTCTCTACAAAGTGCAGGAAATCATTTTGGAAAAGCGCTCCATGTCCTGAAAGACCTCCCTTGTTAGCTCATATCACCTGTATCGCCTGTCGTCCCGTTAATCATCGAATT